TGTCTCTAGCCATTGATGTGGCCCGTCTCGGGGTCCCCATCCAGGAAGACGGCAGTGACCAGCGCAGCTGAGTTTGCTGGTAATGGCTTTCATACTTCGTTGCCAGGTCATTGACCGCCCCTGTCTCTATTCCACGCCTCACGTGGTTGTGCGAAAGGAGCCCTTCGAGGAAGTCGGTCGACTGGCATACGCAACACGTGGCCAAGCCAGCGCAACCTGTGCAGTGTGATCAGTTCATCTATCGAGAGTGAGTTATTTCTCCCGAATACCATTCGACGTACTTCAGAATTGCTGATCCGGTGTTCCCACCAGATTCGGGCAATGCTCCGAAGACATCGATGGTCAAACACTGAACGTCTTTTGACGTCCTCAGCGCGCTCCCGAATACAACAATATGAAGTCATTGAACTATTAGCCAGTTCAAATTGAGCCTGTGGGTTACCGCATTACGACCATCGGATGTTGGACACACGCATAAGCCTAATTGCCGGTCGCTGCAAGTGTATCTTTGTATGTGACCGGATGACTGGATGTCGACAGGTCGATACGCTGGGTGATCGTGAATATGACGTACACGCTGAGGTGAACGCAGTTGATTGATTTCGGCGGCCCAATGCGAGTGAGTTTGACAGTTTAATCTGTCAAAGACCCTGGAAACTTTACGCGTTCGGGCTGAATCAAGTCATTGTACTATTGAGCGTTGGTTTAGTCTGAGTCACTGGCCTAGTGCCACAGTAATCGAGATAACTTTTCTGCTGTTTAATTTTCTCACGTCTCTCCTCGTGATTTGTGTGGGCTTATTGGCATGAGGAGACGATGACTTAAGTTTACAACAGCCTCGCCCAGTGATGGACCTGGATGCATTTTGCTGTTGTTAACCAAGCTGCGATTTTCGAGCAAACAAATGATTAGTTGTTTGATACTCGTGTACCGGTATCTAGATGACGTGAGTGTAAAGCACGGAACTTTGAGAGATGCCCTTGTCACTGACGCAATCGGTGCATGGTATATCAGCATGGGTCACTCGTGTGATCAAAGGTCAACATGGTCACGATAAAATCGACTTGCTTTTCTGCGTCAGTAAGCAGAATGCGTTGACTGATCAGTGGGTGTGGAATGGTGTCTCTAGCCGAATCAAATAAAGCCCGCTGCGGTTCGGTTCCGTGATCATAGTGCCTTGATTTTCACTGGTAGGACAGGGTTACCTTGTACAATAAAGGACCGTCTGGCATGTATTCTGAAAAAGAACCGCCACACTCGGGTTCTGTCACAGTTGTGTCACTCTTTCTTTGAACATATGTCGCAAAACCTTCCAACTCGTAAGGGACTGCATCAAAAACTTAGTGGAAACGGCGTATTAACAAGCAAAACCACTTTTGAATGGTGGCACAACCACTAACCCACCGCTACGCACAACTACGCACTGATGATGTCACCTCGATTGGTGATGAAACGTTTGCAACCAAATTGCCCAGCTCAGCGAACAAGCCAACGACCACCATCTACGCTACCTGAGCTACCGACATTCTCCTCTATAGGTGAGGAAAGTCTTTGTGGAGGTCCTTCTCATAGAACGCTATAAAGCTTGGAATTACAACACTACAGGCACTAAAGCTGTCCTAATGGATCCAGAAAACTATGACCCGAATGGTGTACTTGTTCACCTCGTAATGTGCTGGAAAAAGAGCGCTGTGCTGTGAGCAGAAAGTGCCCAAAGATCAAATAACCCCGTTACTCTGTGGAGGTGTGGATGGTGAAAGGCTTAACCTATCATAACCTGGCAGTAAACATTTCCAAGCTGTTTCAAAGGCGCTGATTCAACGTACGTTTTCACGTGTTTGGGTGACAGTATGTTCCGGATTCTTCAGTAGTCTTATGAGTAGTGTTCCTCCAAGAAAATAACAGGACAACTGTTTCTCAGAAACGACAATCATATTGAATAAAATGGCTTCTTTTTACCGGGTGCAGTTGACTTCCCATGTCTGGTTAATACAGTCGCCTGCAAACTATAGGTCCGCTATCTAGCCAACGGACCAGGATGTAATCTGGTTTTCCAGATGGACACTTCACTCGACCAATGAGAAAACAAGGTTCAACTGACAAGCGCAAAACCCAATTCATCCCGCTACACTATTGGTTGTTCTCACGATTAACTCGACTAGATTAATTTTACGCGGGAACAGTGATCGACAAGGTCATTGAGCAGTGAAAAGTGTCGATATTGGTGGCATTTTCCCGATCAGCCTTTGAAAATGCTTTGCGGTTAGGCACCTCTTGGCACTTGAAAGGCTGATAGAGTGTGTCGTTAAACTTGATTTCATTTTCAGGGCATATATCTACCAGTTGCGTCCATAATATTTACGAAGTTGTAGCGGCCAGTGCATCGTGAGCCTCACTGCTCTATTCACGCTGCAGCCGTAGATGAAACGATTTCAGGATTCTGGATCGCTCTAATCGGAGAAGCACGGTAAGTAACCCGTATGGCCACTTTGAAACAAATGGACTATTTCTACCAAACATCTTAATTATCTGGTGCGTTCTTTATGATGCTATTCAGTAGAGCTCAGGTTCTCTCGAATAGCGTGCCTCTAACCGACCCCTTCAAGATGCGTGTAACTCTGTTGACTTTAAACCGAAATTTAGTCACAGGTGAGTCGATCTGACAGCTGTTAATGTACTCTGGTAAACTAATACTTTTCATGTGGAGCGCGGCATTTCCACGCAACTTGTTTGTTCAGCTCAGATGGTGCCACACTGGGAAAGCTTAACTGCTGGACAGAAGGACCG